TTTTATTAAAAAAAAAAAAAAAAAAAAAAAATAAGTACAAAATATTTTTTCTGATTCAGATAATAACTGCACTTTTTTTAAGTAAAAAAATATTTAGTTTTTACGTTTCAGATATCTTACTTCCATATAAAGAAAGTTTTATAGTAAAAATTATTATAAGATTTTATAATCAAGGAATAGATGGACATTTTGAAGAAATTTATTATTTTTTCGTTTCACACGTGCTATTTATATTAGAAACTGAAATATTTTAAAAACTAAAATACTATCAAAACACTTGCTATGTTCTTAATGAAATTTACTATGCTCCTTAGCAAGACAAAACTTTACTGACAGTCTATTCCTGGACGACTAAAATCATACTAAAACCTGAGTCGAAATTTTGATCCTACTTTGGATGTGCTATTTAACACCTGGTTTCATACTTTAAAGCCTATACAACCTCTTGATTCTGTTTAATCTACTAGCTTTGTCGACAGACTCACTTTAAAACCTATAGGTAATATCTTGGACGTTTTCTGTCATTTGAAGGCGTTAAATAGGATTTCAATTTTCATGTGTATTACACATACTTTGATTTTTCACAATATACAGATGTCAGAACGTTCAGGCTCAAAGCAGGACTAAAATTTCTACTTGGGAACTTGCAAAGAATTTATATAAAAACTATAATATTTTCTCCGTGCATTGGTCAAAATTAGTAAGATATAAGGTGAAATAGTAAAATAGGGGTGTTTTTCCACTGAAGCATCTGTGAATATTAATAAAACATATTGATTCAACACTTTTACTGACTCGTTTTAGAGAACGGATAATCAGTTGCACCTCGCGCATAATACCGTATTATTACAGTCGGGAATAAGTCTGCGATATCTTTCCCGGTGGTTAGGCTTGACTAATCACAGTACATAGACGTAATTAATTCATAGCGATGGAGAGTATGTAGTGGAAAACGGATTATCATGAGCAAAAGATCAAGCAGTCTTTATGCTCGTGTCACACTAGCGTGTCACACTAATCTCCTGATGAATCAGAAAGGAGCTACTGACAATCGCGATTCTCGTTTAGTCGTCCGTTTATAACCGTTCTTAATCGTCAGCAGCTCCTCTCCGATTGGTCAAGAGACAATCATAGATGCAAACGCGACGCAGTCGTCAATCGCTAGTGTGATACGAGCTAAACCGAAATCGCGAATCCCGATCGTCAAAAACTCCTTTCTGACTGGTTAAGAGACAATCGTAGACGCACATACGACGCAGATTGCCAATCGCTGGTGTGACACGAGCTTTAGAATGTGTGATAGTGTAGTTGATATGCCATGTCTCGTCTCGTAAAACACGATATGTTACGTCGATATTCATCAACGTCCGCCAAATTCTCAGACGAAACAAAGGCATACACGCGTGCGTGATTTTGCAAAAGCGTGTCATGATTACCGAGCGAGAATGAGAAATGGGATCACGACGTCGACGACGTGGAAAACGACGCGGAAAGAAAAGAATCAATCGTTTCAGCGATTGAAGATTGATCACGCGGTTGCACCGACGTCCGAGATTTAGCGCGGCAATGCAGTTTCTTTGTCGCGTTCGCTTTGTATTGCCGGGACCTTTGCGCCTTTCCATCCTGGATCAATCCTTTCTCCTTCGATACCGTATCTACTTCGGGTGCCACGACAATACGAGCTGGGCGTTCCAACAGTTTACCACGAGATTAATCTAAAATGTTTCCTTTTCCGTCTTCTTTGCCGCGCGCGTGTCGCGCGTCTGGCATTGTGTGTCCTTCATGACGTTTTAATGCCAAGTTTCTGACACGATTGAACACCAATAGATATCAATTTTTAAAAATGAAAGAAATGCAAGTTGTTTGTCGTTTGATCCTTGAATGGAAACAGACTGCGACATGGTCCTGCCTCCTAACAGCTACATGGAGAGAATTTTATGATAAAAGTTACTATAGAATTTTTTAATCGGGGAATAGATCAACATTGTGAAGTGATTGATTATCTTTTCACGTCATACATGTTATTTATAATTTAGGAACTGTATGTAAAATATGCATTGAGAGAAAAAATATCTAAAAAATAAGAGATATTTATTCGATGGATACAAACAGATTTACTTGTATATATGCGTGTATGTATGTGTATATATATATATATATATATATATATATATATATATATATATATAAAATTATGAAAAATAAGGTTTTAAGAAAGTATATATTTTTTCACTTGAAAACAATTTTTTTAAAACTTTATATTTCATGGGAGTAACTGTTTACTCTATTTAAATAAAAGAAATTAGATTTAAGTAAATATGTTATTACACAGTACCTACCGAATAAATATTTTATACTTTTTTTAAATATTTTTTCTCTTAATATAATAAAAGTGAAAAGAGTTTATATGAAAAAAAAAATTGTAGTAATCTATTCGTGTAGTAAAATGTACTCATTATACATTTTACGTTATTTATCGATCACATATTACTTGTTGCATTTTCTGTGATCATTACGACATTAATCTTGCATATCTTTTTCTTTGTCAACAATATGCAGACTCACCGTGATGTCTTCTCGCCCTCGTAACCTTGCAAACTTCGATATTCTTGCAAATGGCGGAAAAGATTCCTCAACTCTGCGAGTTGCTCGTTCCTCTCAGTCATCGACTCTTTCAGAGCCTAAAATACACAAAAGGAAATCGCAGAATTAATAAAATTGCTGAGAAATAAACGCGTGAGTTTCGTTGCAATGTTATTTGATATAATAGTAAGGACCATAAAATTTTTCGATTCTATGTGCGTTTACATTTAAAAACAGCTGCAGCAGATTGGGAGAATTAACAAAGAAAAAAGAAAATAATGGTAGGTACTTTCATTTAAAAAGAGAGAGAGAGAGGAAGAGAGAAAACCGCGCCGTTCAACCTTAACCGTGCCAATCGTGTCCTCCATTGTGTGCACGATATAGAGTGAAACTAAAAGAAGAACTAGAAGAGGAAACCAGAGAGCGAGAGACGGAACGTGGAGGGTCGAGTAGCGCGCGGATGAGCAAAAAAAGAAAAGGAAAAATAGGGGGCAGAGGAAAAAAGGAAAAAAATCGGAGCCACCGCTCCTCGAAAATAAAATCGGTTTTCCGATAACTGGTTATTTGCTCGCACAAGTGGCTCGCTGACTGGGTGAGCACGTCGGAAGCGGTTTTCGCGTGTAATATTATCGAGTTATCGGTAGGATAGGAGAGCATTGATCGCCGGTAGAGACCGGGGGGAGGATGGACGGACGCGAAGAAAGAGCCTGAAAGAGGGTGCTCGGGGGACGATGAGAGAGGATGCGAGGGTGGCGGACAGAAAGAGAGAGAGAGGGGCGAGAGAGATAGGAGATTGGCGGATGGAACAGTACGAGGAGAGAGAGAGAGAGAGAGAGAGAGAGAGAGAGAGAGAGAGAGAGAGAGAGAGAGAGAGAGAGAG